ATATGACCGTGGTTATTTCACAATTTCACATAATTCTAGAGCGAGTACTTCTCCGTAAGCGCTCATAAACGTTAGGTGCTTAAGTTTGAGGTGCTGTCATACTGTGGTGCTGTACTGGCTGTACACTTTTCGCGCGGGTGCAGTCGCTGCGACATTACCAAATCTCTCTTGTTATTCGAAGCACGCTACGTGAACTGTGATATGGCCTGTTTCAATAGCCAATATCACAAAATTTTACGCGATAACCCTTGTTTTTCTCGATATTTCTGAAAAGGTTAGATTAAGATCTATAAGAACTCTGTTTTTTGAATCTCTGGTAGGTCGCCTTTATATAATTAATATCTCGTTTCCTGTCTCCAAGAGCCCCTCTGCCATATGTAGCTTATGTTAAAAACTGTGATTTCAAAATTCATTTTTGCAAATTTTTACACGGTAACCGATGCTAAAATTTTTCGAGCACTTTTCTCGCATCTCAATTTATACGTCCATAAAGTTTTTTCCAATTTTTAAATACATCCATTATCTGTAGAACCTCCTTAAACGCGTTCCATTTCTGACACGTTTTCTAATTTCACCGCTGGTATAAAATATATTTGAGAAATGCTCGACTCGAGATATATTTAATTCACGTCGCTTTCAAAAGCATCCGGCGCTATATTTACAACGTTGCGGTCAATTCGCGTATTAGTTTATCTTTTCGTCACGAGACTAATCGAATCGCCGGTGCCGCCGTAGTAAAAAAAACGTGAAACCGCACGGTTGAAGGCACCGGGAATAAATACACCGAAAATCGTAGCGGCGTGCATATATGCACGGGCGGAATATCAATTATTGAATGCATGCAGCTGCTAAAACGCGTCGCTCGTTGCGTGCGCGTTTATCGCGAGATCGCGTGCATCCATCCGTCATCGGCCCCGGCGCGGTATCACGGGCGCGGCGGTGTGTTTTCCTACCAATAACCGTATGTCAACGACAGAGAGCATCTGAACACACGACGTATTAGTCGGACAAATATCGCGCCGACGCGGACGCTGTGACGTCCCGTCGCGTCGCTCCGACGTTTTTTTCTCCCTCCCCCCCCCCCCCCGCGAGATTGAAGATCCCGGATACGTCGAGACGCGAGAACGCGCGCGAAGAGGAGTGTTTAGCGCGAGGCCGACGGATAATTACCGAGGGCCGATGTAAAATACGTTAGAACCGCGTATTAGTAGTCGCTCTCGCTCTCGACGCGTTACGGTAATTCCCACATGTTGGCGGAGTGTCTCATTTTTTAACGGCGAACGCGCGTCGCCGTGAGAATAATAAATGCACGCGTACACTCGTTTCTAGCGCGGTTACGATCTTGATTATTCGCGCCGAGTAATAACGCGTAGGGAATAAGAAGTTTTGAATTATGCGCGCACTTCTGTTATTGCCAAGCCCTGAATGATTAAATGCTACGGTACAACACGTATATTACTTGTTTTTTTCTATATTTTTTTTCGTCGGCAGGACAAGGATAAGTGTGAACTGTCCAACTTCTGCGTTAGCGCGGTTTTAGATTATATTTGCGATCTCTAATTTAACATTTTTTCACGAATCTTTCTCGACAGAGTTGAACGTTCGGAATTCATGTCTTGTAGTTGATTTTTTATCTTGTGATATTGAGAGGAGAAACGAAGCTTTTGAATTAGTGAGTCTTATTTTTCTGGCGATACTGTTTTGCGCACTCTGGTACGATATATAATT